GCCAAATAAGCATATATGGCATAGACCTCTTAGCAAGATATATCCACTGGAAATTTCATCGCCAACGTGTGATATAAGCCACAGAGGTTCCGAATCAACAGAAAGAGCAAAATACAACCGCAGATCTCCTTTGCACTAGGCCACAGAGAACAGCGAAGCTTAAAGCGATCCAAGCAATCAAGGATAATTCAGAGGCGAACGTCACGCGAGCGAATTCGTTGGGGAACGCCAGCGTAATGTTACTGACAGTAATTTCACTAGTATTGATCTCGTTGCTCCCACAGGCAGAAGCCTCACCGAGAAATACGAAAATTGAAGTCTTCAGCGCTACCAGATGTGCACAAATGGGATCGTGCGTAAACGATGTATGCTCGAAAATTCGGTATGACAGTGAAATCGCTGAGTTTGCGAACGCTTCCAAGTTCCCAGGGTATTCCGGGTGTGAACGGTCCTGCGGAGGTCTAATATGTGGCGGCTGTCTGTTGCCATTTCCCGCATGCTCCTTCTACAGAATTGCCCACATACCAGTGAACAAGATGGTGTATGAAGTAGTCAACTGTATGGAATGGAGACCACTTATAAGGTTACGCGTTCACATTTCACTGTCTCATTACCGAGAAGAGCAGGCAACACTAATCATGAGGCCATATGTCAGTCAAAAAAGACAGGACGTATCATTTAACGTCATCTCCTATGCAAAACCAACTTGTCCCCTACTGACCAGCAGGTTCGCGATTGCACATGAAGAAGCGTTACTCATACCTGAGCAAATGAAAATGGCAACGACATGCTCATCCTATGAAGAAGCCGTTGAGAATTTTCATCTTTGTAGAAACAACATCATATGTGACTGCGACACCGGAATAAGTCCCGCTAGATGCAACTGTCCGCAAGCTCCTATCGCTACAATGAGAGCAGATGCAATCAACAATTTCCTTGTTTCTCACCCTTTGTGAAGTTAACCACAGACAGGGAAGTATAGTAGCTCTATCCAGACGAGAGGAGTTAACTGTTTCTATAGAAGCAAAATTCATAAAGGACAGCGTCGAATATGTCACTTCGCAGAACTGCATCATCCTCCTCCACAACTTGACCACTTACTCACTCGACTTCCAAAGAGCAACAATAAAGCAAGAGTGCAAGGCAACATGCGCAGATCATATAATCAGGTTGAACTACGAAGGAATCCTGGAATACCTACCACATAACAACGTGGATGAGATTCTCAGTTCTCACGTTAGGAAATGGACCAACCCATCGGCTTTCTACAATGTTTGGAACCTCCCAGACCTGAGTCCATTGTGACTAACTATAAAGGAAGCACTGGAAAGCAACTGTCATACTAGCAAGCACAGTTGCTTGCTTGTCGGTTGCCACGTACTTCATGGGTCCCGTACTGCTTCTGACTATCCTCAAACTTGCCCGTCGCCTTTGCAGTATCTTTCTGAAGTTAGCGATTTCCATCAGCTCGGTAACTCGCAATGTTGTGACAAAGCTTCTTGATGGTGTATGTTCAAAAATCGAGAACCACTAGCCACCAACGATGAGAGTGATGAATAATGTGTTTCTGCGTGGTTGGGTCTTGTCGGTTGATACGCATTTTAGATAATATTGGAAAGAACATATTCTAGATGTAATTTAGATAACCCTCCTGCCATCTATAAGAATCACGCAGAAGTCGTAAGTGACTCATTTCCCTCTATCATGGACGAAGTGGATGTTGCGGTGCACATTGAAACCCTCGCCGAGGCCGTTAGGGACTTGAGAGAGCAGCTTAACGCCGTCGCTGTCAGCCTCACTTCCAAGATCGACGCTCTCGCCGACATGGTTACCGCCAAGCCGACGCCTCTCAACCGAAAAGTTGGAACTCCTGTTGGAGAGGACGCAGCCGAGGTCTAACTGCCTATTTTGTCCGATAGCGGATAACAAAGATTGCCTACCCAACAGGCAGATGTTGCCGTTACCCCGACGCCGTATCACGAGCAGTTCAAGCAAATAATCTTGGCCTCTGCAATCGCTGTCTACAGCCTCGCCATGGCGAGGACTGTGGAATTCTCTGTACCTACTGCGGGCGAGAACATAATGTCCTGCTGTGCCCAAATAAACTGTCGCAATCAACGGCTTCGCTGAAAAGAAGGAAGTTCTAAACGTCCTTCGCCGCCCCGGAGAATGCACTGGTGTGTTTGCAACCACCAGCGCATTTTCCGCATTCCTATCGTCATCGTCGACTAGCATTCTGTTCGCCCCTCCTTCCCCCAACTCGTCAATACTACTGTATTCTTCATCGACAGTGCGAAAGCGTCTAGCGATATCCGCTCCCTCCGCCCAGCAACTCGTCAATGCTACCATATTCGTCACCGACAGTGCGATCGACTGGTATTTCTATATCGTCAGTACTGCGGTACTCACTTCCGCTGTCGTCTGATCTGCTCGCCTACCCGTCATCGTATTCTTTCGACTATTACTCTATGTCGTCGTCTCACGGTGCAAGACAGCGCTAATTTCTATCGGAAAGTGGTCGGTTGTGAATTGGGCGGCATTTCGACGCTGGCGTATGGATATCAGTCAATGCGAAGGTTCGTTTCGACGGCTATGATTAGCTCGCGAGTAGAGATGGTGTCAGTCCTTCGATTTTGACGTGCATTACATATCAATCTAGTCGCTCAATTGTAGTGTAGCAATTCACATAGTTGTATGGTTGATTCTGATGTTGTTTTAATTCTCATCTCCGTATTGATTGTCCACTTCTAAACATACTTCGCACTCAGGCTTTTGCCTTACACTACGGTCGATTAAATAGTATCCCATTGGATGTGTGATTGTAGTTCATTTATTTCATTGTGGTTCATGTAGTTCATTGCTGCCCCTCGCCGGAGTGTCGTGGTATACCACGACGATTTCGCAGATCGCATTCTTGTGCATATTTCTGCATATGTTCGATTAACATTTCCCAACATTCCTTTGTAATGTTTCTGTTCGCAAGAAGCTTATATAAGGGTGTCGATGTAACAATATGTTAGATTGGGAAAATAAAGGATACCACCGAACGGCTACGTCACGATAGTCTACCATTGCATCGAAATTTCATCATGGAACGGTTCCTTTCCGCCCTCGTCGTCATTGGAGTTACCCTGGTGAGTGATTGCGATGCCGTACTCTTTCAGCGAAAAATTGTTTGACTATGTAATTCTGAGATCCCAAAAGAGATAGGACAAAAGAAAATCAAAATTTTCCGCCCTTCTTACCCAGAACTTTTTCAAGGCCTGCCATCCGGTGCCAGAACCAAAAAAGCATGGATTTGGGAACCATACATCGGAAGTCACACTTGTCACCCAGGCTCGCTACGATCCGAATCTAATCCAGCATTTCATGAAATACTTCCCACAGATGGATGTAAGTAGAGACTCACATTTCACTAAACCAAGACATTCCAGCCCTTCAAAATTGCTTCAGATCGAGCAGCGCTCTAAGAAACTAGGAAAGTTCACCGATCTGGGTTCGGCGGACGTTGGAGGCAAATTCGCATTCACTTTCAAACTCCTTAATTCCGACTGTGAGAAGGTCGTGGATGGTTCTTCAACGTTTTTGTAGCTTACAATACCGTTCTCTATACAGTGATATTTTAAGGTCTCTCATTGGCTGGACGATATCAAGAAGTCAGATTCAGTGATCGAGAGCACCTCCCTGAAGTGCGTTGGACAACAGCAGTAACCGCGACAGTGGGAAATGAGCCACGAGCTACAGATCCAAACATTTCTTCGCGAAATAAATTCTGAATCGTCGTTTGATGACAATTTAAGTTCTGTCTGGCAAAGGGTTCTGTATTGCTGAATGGGGCTGGAGCCGCGTGTAGGGCGTGCATTACTGTGTGAAGCCAAACAGGTCGGAAACTATTTGACTGTGACCTAACCTCAAATGCGAGCAGCTTGCCTGATCGCGGTTTATAAACTTTTGAACCAATCCAGTTTGGCTCAGGGAACTTCTGCCATACCAGACAATCTCGTACAATGAGTGGTCGAACTAAGAGACCTCTAACTAACGTTAAGCCCAGGACAGATCTAAGAGTCAAAAATTTTAAAATCAGAGCTACAGGCCCATATATGAAGTTAACAAAAACTATTGCCTCTCCTAGTCCATTGAAAAAGTTCAAAAGCCGGGTTGCTGCTGAAGTTTCCAGTTGCAAAACGCCCTAGTTATTAGAGATTCACCTGCATTTTCATATCCATATCTCTGTCTTGCTTCGTCATTTCACTTTGGGTCTCTTTAGGATCCAATACAAAACCTTGGCCTTCGCTCCATGTTGTACCCAAATGATGATGGAATGATCGAAAAGAACAAACGTCAGATGGGAAAACGGTTCTGTAGCGGGATCGAACTGACGGTTAGGCTGCTCCCAATGCAATGAGTTATACATTCAGTCAAACGTACCGTCCACTTCTTTCCAATACGGTTTTAACGCAGCCATGATTCGTGCACCATACATCTCCACTTTGCTGGACGTCATCGAATCGACTTGGACCAAATCGGAATTTGTGCGTGGGAGCAATGCAGCTATCTAAACACTCTAACCCTTCCTCTTGAACGAACTTTCCCCCTAGAATTCTTAAATGATCGAGCGGATGCCATTGATACTTATCGATTGGATCGCACAACGAATCAATAACTACAGCTCGCATTCATAGTCTAATATGCTGCACGGTTTCTGGAGTAGCGGTCGCGCCGGCTCAGAGGTTTTCAACAGTTCCACACTTCATCGACAGGAGGGTCGAGGTAAGAGCTGAAATGGAAAATGGATGGATGTGCGTAGTCCCATGGAATAGAATTGGTTGGCAGCGATCACGGAATCATTTCAACCACGCTACGATACGGTTACCACACTTTCCGGTGAGCAAGAGCTCTGGTGATTGAAGAGCGCGTTTCTGGCGCATTTTCACGCCCAATAATAAGGTCCCATTGCCCTGAAGCGCCACATATCGTCTCAGTGGGTGGATCTTGCCCAGTCCACTATGCACCTTGCCCACCATTCTCAAGGGATTTAGCGCAACCGCTCCCCTCAAGGCACTGAGATCAGACTTTTCATACTATGACGGAAGTTAACTCATCTTGTACCCTACCCTAACTAAGATGCCAATGCCATACCTGCTCGAGACCCTCCTGTGAAATAATCGCGTAAGGACCAGATAGCCGTGACTCATTGGCGATTTGTGTGACGACTTCAGTAAGGGTCTTGCGACAACGAGTGAACACATCACCGTACTTGACCATATACCTGAATATTACGGTATAAAGTTGTCTTTCGAAATCAATAATAACCACTAATTCTATGGACAACTCACTTTTCCTTAAGAGCCTCAGCTTCCGATACTATTATTCTCTCCACCAAATCTGATGTAATCGTGTTTGGGTTTTTCTCAGCGATCACATGGAGGTAGACCTCAAAGATGTCTACAATCATGCCCCTCATCATATCAAGGGACGAAATCGCAGGAAAGCAGAAATATTATGGGCTCACTTTGGGTGCTGAGCCTTCTACAAGCACCTGACGTCCTTTGTCAGTGAGCTCGGTGTAGACACAATAACCTCCATACTTGTTTCGATATAGGCGCTCCTCGATGTACCCCTCAATAATCTGTAAGACTTATCCATGACATCGATAGAATATAGGAACTTAAAGGCACAATACATGGTCATTGGACCAACCCCCTCCCCCTTTTATTAATATGCCTGATCCGCAAGAAAACAAAATGGTCTTTTTCCGACACACAACACGTGACAGCAGCACAAAAGGCTGACGATTTGCAGTCAATCACATACTAAGCAGCCAGGAATGCCTGCCGTGGAGAACGTGTTTTTCTCTGCTGTCGCCCATACAGTGTGCCCTCCAATCTACATGTCTGCATTCTCACTACGTCGCACACTCTCTATGACAAGGATTAATCCCAGGTCGCCATGACCACGTAAGAAGAGATGTGCCCTCGAACACTGACATATCAGCTACGATTAGGGCAGCAAAAAAATCACTGTCTGATCTCAGCAGTCTCCAACTTCCCCCGGCATCGTTTTAATTCTAATGTGAAAGAATAACGACAGCTAAAATAAGAAGTTGAAGTTGATGGGCCAGGGCCAAAAGGGTTAATGTGGACCGCAGCAAATCTGTCGCTCCAATCGACAAAGTCAATTATTGCCGCGCCCATCGAAAAACTGCATTACGGCGCCGCGCAAGTAACCGCGCGCGACGGCGCCACTCCCGGACGATTCTGTTGCACGCTCCCCTGCG